CCAATCAATTTCAATTCTTTACCACTGACTTTTCCTTACTTTCTAATGATCTTAACTATATGTTTAAATTGATATTTGTTATAATTTATTCTACATTTTTATGTGTTTGGAGGTTTCTTAAATGATCTATTTAGAGCACCTGCATTGAAGATAATATGTACTATAACAACCTCTGTTAATTCCTATCATTTTGTTTTGAAATTCTGTATCATTTTTATTGTTTTTGTGTTTTGTTTTTGTCTGTTATTATTTTATTGTTTTTTTATTCTCTATAAAATAAAAAATGATCTGTTTAATAATATTGTCAGAGGCAAGTATCTAGATGTGTTCTTGTATATTGGTAAGTGTGTGTGCATGTGTGTAAATGTGGTCATGGCACTATTACATTGAATCTGGAAAGTATATAAACAGAAAGAGCTGGGTGCATTGGCACACACCCATAACCCCAGCTTCTCAGGAGGCTGAGGCAAGAGAACTGCAAGTTTAAGACAAGTGTGTGCAATTTAGTGACACCCTATCTCAAAATTTAAAAAAACTTTTTAAAGGGATAGGATGTAGGTCAGGACTAGAGCACTTGCCTAGCAAGTACAGGCCCCTGGGTTTAATCCCAAATAACTAGAACCAAAACAAAACAAAAACAATATTTTTAGGCTTTGTGAACATACTTCATCATTTATATACGTGTCTATCATTTATGTTTGTTTTACAGTACACTGATAATTTTCAAATAATTACATATGTGCCACTAAAATGGTTTGATTGAAGAATATTGAATAATTTACCTTTACCATCATGGTTTGTATAAAAAAGTGAAACCACAGGCCTCTGGCATCAGACTACTTGGCTTCAAATCTCAGTTTCCCCTTCTTTGACTGTTTGGACATACTCAAATTAACTAACTTCTCTGTGCCTAAATTTTCTTATCTATAAAGTGCAAATAATAGTACATATCTCATATGTGTGGTTGTGATATATTAAAGTGAGGGCCTGCTGCATATCTACTATTTAATAAATATTAGCAGCTTTGGTTATTTTTTTCAATTTTTCCAAGTCCAGTTTTCATATGTGTTAAAGAAAAAAGATGTGTATATGTATATGTGTGTACACTTACGTGTAATTATCTTTTTATGTATATTGGCTCAAGAGGTTATACTAAAATTAAAAGCAGAGCTCCAATAAATGTTAACATTAGTTTTTATTAAAACAGTACCAGCATTGCTTAAAATTTCAAAGAATACAAAACTTATAAAATTTAGCTGTTTCCTGTGCTGGCTGCTGGTGCTCCTTGTATCCATTTCTGTATTTCTGAGTAGTATATGTATGCTACTGTGTGTCGCCACTGTGGACTTTCAGTTATGGTAGATAGAGATTTAGTTCTCTTGTCCTAGTATCTGCTGTGCTTTCCCTCCCCCAGTACTTCCAATATAACTAGGTTACAGTTCTTGGTTTAATCAACATTCAGTGTTTACATTATTATATCGATGCAATTATTACTCACTATTGAGCATCCCTTCTTTATCTTTTCCCCCTCTTGCTTAATGATTGCTTTTAATTCCTTTTCTAATGTGATTAATTTTTTTGGATCTTTTTACTCTCATAGATTCCAGCATCTCTCAGTGTAACTTTCCTGCAAAGATAATTGCATCGTCAGCCTTGTCAGTTTTAGTTCTCTTCATCCCTCTTGTATCCTGGGAGAGATTTCTGTCCTCTGTGTCTGTGACATATTTCCTCTGAAGTCCTGTTACACAGCTGTCATAGTAGACTTCCCTTTGTAGTCACCCGTAATAGTCTTTTTGTCCTTTTTCTGGATTGAAATCCATGTTGATTTACTTTCTTCTCTTAATGGCATACATCTACTGCTAGACTCATCGGATTTAAAACATAGTACAGCGATAGAGGGACCTGACAATGGCAGCCCTCGAGGACTATCTTGAGTCTACCATTCGCTTTATATCTGGTGCATAGTGTTCTGGGATTGCCCTTTTCCATCATCCTAGGGATTTCCTTTCCTCCTGTGTTCTTTTGTTCCTCAATTCCTTCACTTTGGTGAAGAATATACCCTTTCCTCGCTTCCTGAGGAAGGTTCATAGTAGGTAAGGTTTCTGGATTTGTGCCCTCCGTGTTTGTTCTCATGTTCATGTTTCTGTTGTCCTGGCTTGCTGCTTGGGCTGAGATACAGATTTCTAGACTGGAAATACTTTTCCTTCGGGATTGTGAAGGCATTCACAATAGGTCCCTTGTCTGCTTGATTGCTGATGAAGTATCTAAAGCCCTTTGATGATCAATCCTTTGGGTATCACCTGTATTATTCATTTATTGTGTTGGGGATTTGCATTATGCCCTTTTGATCTGGAAATTAAGGTCATTGGTTCTAGAGAATTTTCTGGAATTATTTTGTTTATAATTTCTTCTTTTCTTTTCTTTTTTTTTTTTCCCCCTCTTTTCAGAGCTCCTATTACTTAGGTGTTGGGTTTCTAATGCTGATCTTTCATCATTTCTGCCGTATTTTCCATTTCTTAATCTCTTTGTTCTACTTTCTGGGAGAGTCTCTTATCTTCCGATCTTCCTTAGTTTTTCCCTTTTTTTGAGACAAGGTCTTGCTGTATAGCCCATGCTGGCCTCAAACTCCCAGTGATCCTCCTGCCTCAGCCTCCCAAATGCTGGGATTACAGGCATGCACCACTACATCTGGATTCTTCCTTAGCTTTTTAGTCTGTTTTGTTTTTTATTTTGAGATGAGGTCACACTAAGTTGCTCAGTTGCCCAGATATGGCTCAAATTTGAGATCTTAGTGCTTCAGCCTCCTGAATGTTGGGGTTATAGGTTTGCCCACCACACCTCATCTGTGGCCCTCTTTTTTTTCTCTTCATACAGATTAAACTTTAAGGTTTCTGCCATGGTGGAAAAGAAGCACTTGCCTGTGCATAGAGTTAGAAAGGGAATCTGGAGCTTTAACCATTTCTCAAACAGCCCTTGCCCAATTCTTATTTTAGCCACTTCTTCTTTTCCCACAGTTCCAGAGGTAATTAGTGCTGTTACTTCTCAAGTTTTTGAGCCTCAGTGGTATAAATCAGACTGGCTCTCCATTTTTTTTCTACTGCCAGCTTATAATTTAGCTTTTTTTGATCTGCTTAATTAGTTATCATTTGCCTATCCACTTTTCCTGCTTCACAGATGTTTTTATCTCTCCTGTTTCTCCCATCCTGTGGGTTTCTTAGAAAAAAAAAAAGAAAGAAAGAAATCTCTTGAGTAAATTAGATGTAAGTGTTCCTTCTTTTATCTTAACTTGGATGTCTCAATATTTTAAAATGGCAATTCCTCATGTATTTTTGTGTCATGAGTGAAATAAGATATTTGCATGTAATTTGGAAAATAGATATCTAATAGTTTTACATTATTGTAGTGCAACCATATAGAAATAACTATTAACACTTTGTTGAGACTCGGTCTCTTCCCCCCCCCCCCCAGGTAGTGGGAATCGAACTCATGACCTTGTGCTTGCCAGGCAAGCGCTTTGCCACTGAGCTAAATCCCCAGCCCCAACCCTTTGTTATACTTTCTGTTAGTTTTTTTTCCTGCTTGCTTCACCCAGTAGACCATTTCCCGTGTGAAGACATAATCTTTGAGAACATTTCTAACAAATGTATAAGGTATAATTGAAAAATGCAGTGAATGTTTAATTTTTAAAAATGTAGCACAGTAAAAGACACATTGCCATTAATCTCCCTCAGAATATTCCCTCTTCCTTCAAACACACTTCTCCCATCATTCTTGCCACTTTCTGAAACAGTTTTGGAAGTCTTCTTTCATGAGTGTCCTTTGTTGTACTATCATGGCTATCTTGTTTGTTTGTTTTGTTTTTGTTTTTCTTCTGGTACAGGAATTGAACTTACGACCTTGCGCTTGCCAGGCAGGCGCTGTGCCACTGAGCTGAATCCCCACCCCCTGTCTTGATATTCCAAATTGGTTAAAAACATTTACCTTTTAGGGGCTGGGGATTTAGCTCAGCGGCAAAAGCGCCTGCCTGGCAGGCGCAAGGTCGTGAGTTCGGTTCCTGGTACCGGAGAAAAACAAAAAAAAAAAAAAAAAACAAAAAAAAATTTACCTTTTGTGGTCATGGTTGACTTTGGGGAAGAGCCAGAGTCACACAGTGCCAGATCCAGTGAATAAGGTAGCTGAGGGCACATTGTAATGTTTTTATGAGCCTACTGCTGGATAGCCTGCAGCAGTAGCATTCACTGTATTTTTAAATCACATCTTATAAAACCGCTCATGAAAGAAGACTTCAAAACTGCTTTGGAAAGTGGCAGTAACAATGGATAAATATGTTTCAAGTAAGGGGGTATTTTGAGGAAGATTAATGGCAACATCTTTTATTGTAATGATTTTTAAATTAAATAAAAATTCAGGTATATTTTGATCACTTCTGTAATTATTTGATTGCATATGTCATGAGCAATTCCCCATATCAGAATATAGCCTTTGAAAACAAGATTTTTAATGGCTTTATAATATGGTCTCCAAGTGATTTTACTGATGTATTGTCCCGTCCCGTCCCTCCCCCATCCCCCGGTACCGGGAATCGAACGCACGACCTTGCACTTGCCAGGCGGGCGCTGTGCCGCTGAGCTAAATCCCCAGCCCCATTTATTGTCTTACTGATAAAAAATGTACATTTTTCCTTTTTTTTCCCCCCTGAATCTAAGTTACTCTAGACCAGTGGTGGTGAACCTTTTAGAGTTTTCAGTGATAACAAATAGCCCGCTGCAGCACACATGCTATAGGTTCGCCACCCCTGCTCTAGACTATAATCTTAGCAGAGTCAGGGAACATCTGCCTTGTTGATGACTGTATCTTCAGTGCTTCATGTCTCACATGGAATGGTGGTTTAGGGAATGTTTCGTTATACACAAAAGTCTATGAAGGGATATTACTAGACTAGAAGGTACAAACATTTTGCAGGTTGTCGATGATTTTTTTTCCTTTTATTCTTTATTCAGAATAAGAAACAAGGATGTAAAAATGAGGAGGTGCTTGCTGTATTAGGCCATGAACTGGGGCACTGGAAGTTGGGACACACAGTCAAAAATATCATTATTAGCCAGGTAAGTTTGAAGTGACTATTTATTTATCTATTTATTTTTTGTTTGTTTGTTTTTTTCCTGTACCGGGAATCGAACTCACGACCTTGTGCTTGCCATGCAGGCGCTGTGCCGCTGAGCTAAATCCCCAGCCCCAACAATTTATTTTTATAGCATAGTGATCAATTTAGAAGTATGGCTGGTATAAGAGGTCATCTACTAAAGAGGTTAAGACAGACTTTACCCAGGGCAGTAGCACATGCCTGTAATTCTAGCTCTTCAAGAGGCTGAGGCAGAGGATAACAAGTTTAAGCCCAGGCTGGGTAGTTTAACAAGATCCTGTCTCTTTTTTTTTTTTTTTTTTTTTTGTACTAAGAATCGAACTCAGGACCTTTTACTTGCCAGGCAGGCACTTGTGCTGTTGAGCTATATCCCTGGCTCTTTTTTGAGGGGGAAAATGGTGTCATTTTATAGTTCAGGTTGGCCTTGAACTCACTATGTAGCCCAGGCTGGCCTCAAACTGGTGGTGCTCCTCTTGCTTTAACCTCTGGAGTGCTGGGATTACAGGCATGTGCTACCACACCCAGCTTCAAAATGTTTTTCAGAAGTCTGGGGATATAGTTTAGTTCTGAAAACCCTGGGTTAAATCCTTAGTACCACAAAAACATAAATAAAAATAAAAAGCATTGAGACTGTAGCTCAGTCATAGAACATCCCCAGGTTCAATCCCAGGTACCACAAAAAAAGAAACTTCATAGCCAGGCTTCTTGTGGAGACTGCCATTGAGGCTCCCTGCCTCAATTTCCTCTGTGTCCTCAGGCAAGTTCCTTAACTTCTCTCAGCCATTTCTTTCACTGAATGATGATACTTCATAGAATTAAATGAATCAGACCTATTAGAGGCATACCTGGAGTGAGGTAACTGTTATGTAAATATTTATTGTTATCATCATCATTGTCACCAGGTTCAGAGTTGTTTAGATGTAAGAGCTGTGACTATCGAAAGGAGCAAGCATAGAGAAATTAGATATTAACATGCTCCCCTACCATGCTGCATATAAAACCTGGGGCACTGGACGTGCTAGGCAAGTGCTGTACCACTGACCTACATTCCCAGCCCTTAACATGCTTTTAAAAAATGTTTTTGATCATTTAAAAGTAATTTCACTGAAAATTGTGTGAGATATAAAGAAGAAAGTAATTCCAATAACATTTCTCCTCTGAGTATTAATACATCAGAATGAGCAGGTTTCCACACAGTGGATGAAACAACACTAAATCCTATGGACTGGTTCTGAGCATATGGTGCCTTCCCTGAGTCTTAGGTGGATCTGTGTACCTGTCAGAAAGGCCAACAAGCTGGTTCTGGGGGATGCATGGCATGGGAAGACTCTGAAGGCCTGGGGCACTTGCCTGTTGCACTACATCTTTAGGTATAAATATGTTTCTGGCTTAAAGATTAATTGGATAAGTGCAGTCAGTAAAACATTAATTAAATCCAAATCTAAGTTCAAATTAAGTGTTCGGTCTAGTAAGGAAAATCACTGTCCCTTCTCTGAAGGAACAGGTCCAGTGGAATTGGCCTAGTACAAGGTGGTGGTCTGGTCCCTAAACTGATGCCTTGTCAAGGCTGGGGTCAGTTGTATCTCCTGACAGACTGGGACCAGCAGAAGCCAGTGGGGAGAGGTCTATTGTTGACTAATACACCAACTCCATGTTTGTCACCTTAGCCACTGTACATGAGTCCCTCGACCAAGTTCTGTTGCTGTAGAAGAGAGGCTGGCTGACCATCACAGAGCAGTTGTCAGCATCTGATCATCAGGACCCTCCTCTCCTTGTGGGACTTCAGTGAAAATCACAGTAGGCCAATGGATTAGCATCCTCTTGGCTGATTTTGGAAGTTTCCCACATACTTTTGGAAGTTTCCCACGTGCCTAAACCTCCCGGTAGCCATCCTCTAGTTCTGCTGTGGGAAAAATCCAGAACTGAAAGGAAACCACTCCACACTGAGGAGTTTGGAAGGCAACTTTAATGTAATGCTAGCAGGCTGATCAGAACCTATTCCAAGTCATCAGCCCAGTTTTGATTTTAGCTTAAATGCATTTTGCAAGCAGGAAGTACAAAGCTGATAGCTGGTTATTATGTGACTGTTACATGGATTACAAGAGTCAAGTCATAAGTTGTCAGATTTGTTTTAAGTAGGTTTACTTAAAAGGAATTGTTTATCATTAGACAGGAACATTTTGTGAGGGAGGGGGTTTGAGCAATGTGGGTAGAGTTGAATGTGTCCTTGAGTGGGCCAGTCTGTTCTGGCCATAAAGTCCTTGAGGTAAGCCAAAATAAAAATTAAATATATACATATTTTTAAGCAGAAAAACACAGATGTTATAGCTGGATGTGGTCAAGTTGACCTAGCCAGGTATTTGGAAAAAAGCAGCTGGATGCAGACAGTCAAGACTAACTGAACTTAGCAGTCTAATACGTGGCCAACAACATGAGCATATCCTGTCTCAACATAGTCACAGGCTACTGATTGATTTTTTAATTTCTCCTATAAGATTTTATAAATTTTCCATTACATTTCAGTGGTGGTGAACCTATGGCACACATGTCACAGACAGCTGTTTGTTATCATTGAAAACTCTAAAAGGTTTGCTATCCTTGCTGTACTTTGTTTCAAAGCCCTCATCCATCTATACATTGGTGGCCCGCTGCCAGTAAATCACTATATGTCCTCAGCTCAGGCCCTGTCTCCTCCACTGAGCAGACAGTGAGACAATCTACTTAAAGTTGCCCTGGCTGGGAGTACTTCCCTCTGCACTGCCTTCCAAGCTGGCGTATTGTATTGTTATATGTATGACAGGCTCCAGTGTTTTCTTCTTCCTCAGTTGAGTGACTGTAGGGAACTCCTCGTGAGGAAAGACTGATTGAGGGGCAGAGTGTCAGGAGTCAGCACACTAGAATAGAAACAGCTTCTTGTTAGCTTCCTTCTGCCTTCTGGTTTGCTTCATTTGCACACCTTTGTGTACACATCTGTCTGATGATGGATGCCCTGAGCATACCAGTTTCTGGCCGGGTGGCTCCATAGCATCTACTTCAGGAGGAATAGCTCAGATGTCTTATGGCCAGGAATTCAGTCTACATCTAGGAGGGCCCAGTAGCAACCCAAATGTTATTTTCAAAAGAACAATAGTTACTTGACAAAAGTGGACAGACTATGCATGTGGGCATATTCATTATGAGTTTTCTTTTGGAGTTTGTCACTGGGACCCACTGTGTGATTAGGACTGAGTCAGAGAGCCTGGGCCCCTGGTGATGTAAGCAACAGCATGTGGATTAACCTGGTAAATGGCTCGGAACAGCGCACTTAATTATAGTATGTGTGGCCTCTAAGTTTCTAAGCGAAAAGAATGGTATTTGTTCTGCACGTTTACTTGAGGAAGTTTATGGACTGGTATAGGCTTTTGGTCCCACCCCACCTTTCTTATGTATTGTTTTTTTGTTTTCCATGTTTTTTTGATCTTCCTAAATGTTCTGTACAGCTACTAAAGTCCTCCCAAAGAGAACTGAAGGGAAACCTGTTGCTTTGGAGCCTCACATTATGGTTGGGTTGGAGGCTTTGTGTCTGATTGAGGTCTTATAAAACAAATCCAGAATCATTCTAGTTCCTTCACTTTGGAGTGAAAATATCCCAATTCTATTGATTACATCCAGACCCTCAATTATAAGAGACCAACTCAAGCCTTCCTTTATAGAAAACATTTAACATGAACATTTACACATTTGGGAAATTTTATTTTCCCTTTGAAATTAAAAGGGAAACTATAAACTACCGAAGTAACTTTTGTTGTGTTCACACTAATATCTTTCTTAAAATTCCATCATGATTCCCTGTTGTGCTTTTGTGGTGCTACTTATCCCCCAGTGAAATGCTGAACAATAACTTAAAACTTCATGTCATTTTCTAGATGAATTCTTTCCTGTGTTTTTTCTTATTTGCTGTATTAATTGGCCGAAAGGAGCTTTTTGGTGCGTTTGGTTTTTATGATAGCCAGCCTACTCTAATTGGACTGCTGATCATCTTCCAGTTTATTTTTTCACCTTACAATGAGGTAATGTATAATCTTCAAAATTCTCTCACATAGCCAGGGATTTAGCTCAGCAGCACAGCGCCTGCCTGGCAAGCATGAGGTCATGAGTTTGATTCCCATTACCCCCCCCCAAAATTTTTTTTCTCGCAGAACACTTTGCCTGTTGTAGTTCTAAGCCCTTTAGGGTAGTATAAAAAGAAGTCAACAAAACTGTACAGCCTTAACAAGTAGTTGAAATATTCTTTTAGTCCCCTGATTGACTCACCATTATGAAAAAGTAACAGAAAAATCCACGCAAAAATAAATAAATGCTTACATGCATTTATTTATCTGTGGAGTGGGACTAGAGAATTAGACTTAGGCAGTGAAAACCTTGCTATCACACATGCCTTAGAGATTGAGTAGATGGAGACCAATGTTGGGAGGCCGTGTCCTAGGTGCCCTAGGCCATGTATTCACAGTGCTTGGGCAGAATCTTCTGTGTGAGGGAACAAAACCAATGATAATTGAGTGTATGTGTGGCCAGATTAAGAGAGGCTGCATGACAGTATTCCTCTGATTATGGATTTATGACCACCTGCCTAAAATAACTCAAATATCCCATCTTTATTTAGGTATATTTTTAACTCAATTACTAAATAAATATAAGGGAAGGGGGAAAACTCAACTACTAAATATAAGGGTAAGGGGAAAAAACCCTCTGAACAACCCTAACATAGGCCACTAAGGATAATCTGCAGCAGCACTCCCACCTTTACATGGAGAAGACTACCCTGTTCAGTTGGACCCCAGCAGCTATTACTTAATGAGCTTGTTTATCTGATTTGCACTCCTGTATAAAGCAGGTTAAAGAAGAAAACCAGCCAGGTGTGATGGCACATACCTGTAACCCTACATTCAGGTGCCTGAAGCAGGAGGATTGCTGAAAGTTCAAGGCTAGCCTGGGCTACATAGTGAGTTCAGAGGCAGCCTGGACTACATAGTGAGACCCTGTTTCAAAAAGACAAAAAAGAAGAAGAAGAAAATTAAACATACTGTAATGGGAAATCACACCGTAGCAATGATTATCAGCTCAACAACAAGGGAAGAAACAAAAAAAAAAATTTATTTAAGTAAATCAGGTATGGGAGCATATGCTTACTGGTATAATTGTAGCGCTTAAGAAGCTGAAGCAGTAAGACCAAGAGCTTGAGCCTCCCAAGTGCTGGGATTATAGGTGTGTGCTGCCACACCCAGCTAAAAAAACCTACAGTATCTTTAGTAAGGATGTTATATGCGCATACACACACACACACACACACACACACACACACACCCCTATTTGAGCCACAGGAGCGGGGCAGCTAAAACTGTCTTCCTTTCCTTTTCCAGGTTCTTTCTTTTTGCCTCACAGTCCTAAGCCGCAGATTTGAGTTCCAAGCTGACGCATTTGCCAGGAAACTCGGGAAGGCTAAAGACTTATATTCTGCTTTGATCAAACTAAACAAAGATAATTTGGGATTCCCTGTTTCTGACTGGTTGTTTTCAATGTGGCATTATTCTCATCCTCCGCTACTAGAGAGACTTCAGGCTTTGAAAAATACAAAACAAGACTGAGATGCCTGGAGTCTGTGACAGAAGACATTTCTGATTATTTCTGTCCTGGCAGCATGTTCCTGCTCTTGATGTTTTTAAACTTTTTTTTTTAAAGAGGGAAACAATTAGGTACAGAAAAGCCCAGATTTAAATATATTTAATATCTCATTTCAAAAATGATTTTAATAATCAATTTCTTAAAACACTGGATAAAATTTTGAAGCTTAATGTTTTTAAAGGCATAGTTTTACCTTTAACATCTGATTTTCCATTAGTTTGTTATTATTTAAGAAAATGCAGAACTTGTTTTATGTATTTACACATGTGGGTCTGCGTGTAAGGGCTGTGGGTGCACATGAAGAGGGGGCACCTCCTCCACCTCCTCTGGTCCTTTCTGCAAGGTGGAAACAGTCCTGAATCCCAGTGCTTGTGGCTAAGTTGAAATTTGTGTTTACCTTCGTGCAGTTGTGATTTAACCTGGCCAATCAGTGTTTTCAATAAGAAAGATAATGGTTGGAAATGTTACTTAAGTGACAGTTATTAGAAATACGCTCTGCTGTTCTACTAGATTTCAAATCTCTTCTTTCTCTTGCTGCCCACTGATCAAAAATTTCTGTTAGTGCTTTGAAGTTAGAAATTACATGTTGGATGTTTTAAATCAATGACTTTTTAAAAATAAATGTTTCATTTTTTGCTTTTGTCTCCACCTGGTAGGTATGGTCCTACCTAGGGGGATGTTAGCTTTTTTTTATTCATTCTGTTTTTTAAATTTTTTTTTGAGACAAGGTCTTACTGTGTAGTTTCGGCTGAGCTGGAACTCATTATGCAGCCCAGACTGGCCTCAAACTCACAGCAATCCTCCTGCCTCAGCGAGTGCTAAGATTATAGGTGTCACCACTGCACCCAGCACTCATTCATTCACTTTTATTCAGTAAAAAGTGTATTCTTTCATTTAGCAGGAATTACCATGTTGAACAGGCAGAATATGGGAAAAAAGAAATTACATTTTAAGAGACATAAGGGACAAATACTAATGATTCTTTTAGAATATTTCAGGAAAAATATAGTTTTCTATCTCTTTCAAGGACAGAAGAGTTGGTTTTTATTTTTGTAATTTTTAGCAGTAGTCATAAGTACTAGTAGGGCTGGAGCCATTTGTAAAACTTAATAATTCTTGCTGTGTAGATAATGTTTACTTTCCAAAAATTGTCATGAAAGATTCCCAGTTTTAAAAGTTGTATGTTTGACCACTTCACATCTGTCCACTTTTTGAATAAGAACTTATTTTGTGTCTAATACTCCCCTCTCACTGGTAATGTTTACTTTCTGGGTGTTTATTCCAAAGTGGGGTTGACTATGTACCTTTGGTATCTGGCCATATAGTCTTTTGCTCAGCTGACATTTCAGTGATATCTTCACATGGAAATATAATAAAAATTAAAATCTAGTTTAGTACTGCATTGTTTATTTTCCTACAGCTAACATGGAGCAGCCCCTGTGGTTTTTATCCAGTGTCTTTTTCTTATACTTCAGGCTCTGAAAACTGCCTTTTATTACTTCTGTGCCTTTAAATGCAAAGTTCAGTTCTGCACAAGTAAAACATTATAAATTGCCAATGTAGACTTGTGTACCTTGTCTTTAATTTGATATAATTTGTGTGTCATGTATTGCCCAGATGTGTGTTTCTTGGCCTTAGAAGAATGAGGTGGTGATCTGTGAAGAGTCACATGAAGAAGTAGCCCTAACTCTGAATGTCATCAACACTGTCCCCAGGCCTTACACAGAGTCCTCTTCATGACTTCCTTCTTCTCCACAGACAGTGGTTCTTGCTGATGTTTCCTGAGAAGATTGATTTGGAGTCATTCCTTCTTCATTTTTGTAATTTTAAATTATCTCTGGCCTACCCGGCTGCTCCAGTTGCCTCTGGTCTTCCTGACCTATGAGTATGGCACAGTAATTAGCTTTGTAATATGTGACCACTCTTGTTACCCAGTGTCTGGATGGTGGGAGCTCAGGGAGGATAAGAGAAGACTGGTGGGTTCCTGAGATCCTGGCCAAGAAGGGAAAGAGGAGATGGGCCAGCCAAGGGAGGAAAGAGTGGCACTCTGCGTCCTAAGAGTTGTAGACAGGACCAGGGTCAAGTAGAACAAATCCTTGGGTAAAGAGGCGTGACCCTGGCAAAGTACATCTCTGATGCCAAGGCAAGAGTTTGGTCTGTGTCTGTATACTGCCTTTACCTGAGTTAATCCATTGGTGAAATCTTTAAGAGCTGCTAGTAAATTCTGCCTCTGTTTGGGTAGGAGCAAATTTCCTGGAATAAATGGAATGACTTTAGTACCAAAGATGATGGTCTGAGCTTTCTCCATATACTCTATATGCTCAGTGGTAGTGCTTATCTTTTGTGTAGATTTCCCCTTTCTGAGGAAGCTTCCTTCTGCTTGGTCTTCTCCATCAATGTTTTATGTACTTCTACACTTAAAAATATATGGTTTTTGACTGTTTTGAGTATTCTATCATCAGCAGAAAACTTGCTAAATAGCAGTTGAGGGCCTGAAGTTCTGTCCTTAGGGACTGTACAAAGAAAATTACCAAGAACATGTAATCTGAAACTTGTATCCAAATTTATAACAAAAAACTTTTTTGGGGGGAGGGAGGTTGTGCTGGGCATTGAACCCAGGGCCGCATACATCTAGGCAAGACTTGCCTACATGCCCAGCCCAGCCAAAATTTTAAGGTCAAAATTTTATTTAAGACCACAACTGGGTTGGGGATATAGCTCAGTGGCACAGTATTTGCCTAGCATGCACAAGGTTTGATTGCAGTACTGCAAATAATACACCCACAATGATGTGAGCAAGTAATGAAAGCATGTGTGGGTCAGGCCGAGTACAGTTGGTTTGGAAAGCAAAATAATCTATTGTGGAATATTCAGACAACACGGCCAGGTGAATCTTGGGCTCTTCTTTTATTATCCAGGAAACTTACCAGAGGAAGATTTCCTAAACAGTTTGACTAGACGTGAGCTAGGAGTCCTCCTGTGTTCTCAGACCTGAGCAATCGGACTGCCTACACCTGGTGAGCAGACAGCTGCCCTGCCTTCGGGTCAGAGTTCTCCTCCAACTCACTAGATGATAGTAACAGGTAAGGCACAGCAGGTTTTTGACCAGGATCAAAAATACTAGTGTTTGTCTTGAAGCTTTCAAGAGAAATCACAGTCACGTAACTTTTATTATATACTTGCTCTGTTTTATTAGTAATTGTGAACCTCTTATTGTGCCTAATATGTAAGATAGATTTTATGTTAGGTATATATGTGTAGGAAAAAACAGTTAATAGGACTCACCTGATCAGGTGTTGGGCCCTGTCAGGAAGAGGGAAGCACAAGTGTAAAGGCCTTGAAGTGGGAGCCAGCCTGGTGTTTGAGAAACACCAAAAGACCAGAGAGGCTGGGAAGCCGTGTGCTAGAAAGGTGGAGTGGGAGGTAAAGTTGGGAGAGAGATTTTTCAGGCCATAGTAAGAATTCAAACTTTACTGGGGTGTGGTGGGAAGCCAGAAGGTTTGGAGCCAAGGACTAACATGATCTGAGTTTAGCAGACATACCCTGGCTTCGATGTTAGGAATAGGGGACTGGTTGGTAGGTCCTCCCAGTTCTCCCAGTGCTTTCAGCAAGACGTCCTGGTGCTAGGCTACAGTGTGGCCAGGAATGCAGCCCCTGGAGGGGTGGTGTTGGGCTCTGGAAAGGAATGGGCTGTCTTACTGCAGTGTCCTATAAAGCTTCTTAAACCCCTCTCTTCCTAAGTGTAAATAGGGGAGTTGATTTCATCCTTCATTATCATTGCACTAGATTTATATTTTATTTATTTTTTGCCTCAAGATTTGGTTGTGGCAGGGGCCAGTCCCTGTTCTTGGCAGTGAGAAGAACAACCCAGACACTCAGACCATCTGGAACACAGCCACACACAAACCCAGTAAAAGTCCCTTCCTTCCTGGTATTATGGTTGTTGGGTCTTTTTCCTTTGAGCATCCTGACCATATTATATTTATTGAGCACCTGCTGTGTTCCTGACACTGGTCTGTGTGCTGCAGAAAGAACAGGAAATGAGAGATCATGGTCCTGCCCTGGTAGAGCTCATAGTCTAGTGTCTTGTATGGACAGTGAAAACTGCTGAGAAGAAACAGTCAAGCATGGGAGAGGATCTGGAATGTCAGGGTAGAAAGAAAGTCGATTCTGAGGAAAGACTTGCAGCAAGGAAGCTGGCAGTGGTAACACTGGGGACATATTCCAAACAATGGGCACAGACAGCATGCATGCAACTGTTTGAGGAACAGCAGAGGGCTGGCTGCAAGAGTGGAATGGACCAGGGTCTGGGCACAGTGAGGTCAGATTAGAGGCACATGGGAGACTTGTATATGAAGTGATCTAAGTGACATTCACTTACCAAAGTCTTACAAAAGGTAGCAGCCACTGGTCCCTAGGAATTAGTCCCCTTTTGGCTCCTTCAACTACCTGAATGGTAAGAAATGAGGTATAACTCCATGAGGTTTGTGCATCATCAGTTTCTCTGTGGTAACCGATACCCTCCAGTGGGCCCAGTCTCTGAAAGTCACAGCAAGGGACAGGGCAGTGTCCCTGGGCCAGTGTGTGGGGCAACTTGAAGGAGTAGACTCTGAATCCGAGATTTCAGATACTAGGACCAAGAATGTGACACTGCCTAGGGCAGAGAACCCTCTGTGCCATGGGAGTGCCCTGGGCTAGGGCAGCACTCACCCTCTTCCCTTCCTCCACTGGGCCCTGGGTTCCCTGCATTGCCCAACTCCCTGGCAGCCACACAGCTCGGACCTTCTGTGGGGCCTAGGATGCTGTAATTCAGAGTTTGCCAAAACACTGAAGGTAAAGCTCTTAGTACCCTTGGTGCTACCCCACTTTGTCCTTCCCAGCAGTGCCTGGGTTGGGATGAGGGAGCTGAGACGTCCTCAGTGGAAAATGTGTGTTGAGGGGCAGGGAGCAGTGAGGATGGCTGAGTTTGTGGTGAGAGGTCCTGGGCCCCGCCTTTAGCAGACGCTTGGGCCTCAGGCTAGAGTCGTGTGCCTGCCTCCAGGAGGCCTGGGGCTGGCAGAGGGCTTTACTTGGGAACACACACCCAAATCAATCTTGGAGCAAAGGAACTGATCACTCCCTAAATTTCAAAAACTGGCTGGACTATAGAGCCATAGGCCAGAAAGGTACATACCAGATCTGAGCCAGACTCCCTTAGACTTTCATCATCCAGGCCCATGTCTGTTTTTCTTACAAGCTCAGGAGCCCCTGGAAGGCCACAGCCAAGCTGTTCCAGGTCCAGCACACAGTGGATACTGAAATGCACTTCCCACATGCCTGGCCCTGGTGTGACAGTGAGTAGGCTATACGTGGCTCTGGCACAACTGAGTCCTTGCCATAGCAGTACAAAGGCTCAGAATAGTTTGCCCAAAGTTAGACAGTAGGTTACCATCCTGCCTCCACCCTAAGCTCCCTCCAAGGATGGTCCTCAGCAGGCCAAGTGCTGTCCCAACACTCGTGGTTCAGGAAGTGCCCAGATGAAGGGGTGCCACATCCTCCCTCCCTTCCAGCACCCCCGACCCCTCTGTCCAGGCAATGGAGGCCCAGGGACTTCCCACCCTTCCCACAAAAACACAGCCCAGCAACTCACATCCTGATTCGTACCCAAGTTGAGGCTTTTATTTACAAAGAATAGACATGAGGAGAAGGAGGCAGGAGAGAGTAATGCGAAGAAGAGGAGGGGACAGGTGTTTAAATACTCAGATGGGAGGCAGGAAAAAAGGGATGGGACTGGCTTAAACACAGCCACCTCAGGGTGATCACCCATCAGCAGTCACCCAGTAAGTCCAGAGAATGAGATCAGGAGCCAGCAGAGACCTCATTCTAGCTGCCCCAGTGATGAAACGGCCAGGGGAATGATAGTGCAGATTAAGGAAACATCCCAAGGGTGCTCCCAGAAGGAAAGTGACCCTGCACCCTCAGAGCGTTGCCTTTCCAGGAACATGTGCTCTGTCGGCCTCACCTTTTCACTCTAATGCCCTCCCTTTCCTTCCCCTGCGTTTTAGAACTCCTTGTCCTCAGGACCTCTGGGTCCTATGCCAAAGGTCCTGGGAAGCTAGCTCCCTGGGCTGGAAGCATGTCCACCTGGAGTGAACCCAGGATGCTCGCAGGCTCCATCCTGGACTGCTGCTCATGGTCCCTTAATGGATCCAGGTTCTGTGAGGCGGGCAGAGGTATAGGCTGATGCTCCAAGGCAGGCTGCAGGCTCACAGAAGCCTGGCAGCCCCATGGGGCCTGGCAGGCCAGGTCGGCCTGCCTCTCCTGGAGCCCCTGGGGACCCTCGGTCTCCATCCTTGCCATTGATGGCCTGGCCAGGCCGGCCAGGGAGTCCTGTGAAAGGAACAAAATCAAGACATCACGGCTTCCTTTTATCTTGACCTAAAATTGTTAAGCTGGGATATTTTTCAGCATAGACCAAGGACAGCACAGGAAGAAGGAGAAGCTCTGCCCCCCAAAACAGTCTGTGGTTTCCATTGCTCACAACTCCCTACCAGTGAATGTTTTTCCTTCCCCCTATGAAGTGACTGTGGTAATCCCAAGAAGTCCTCAAAATCCCAGCTTCCAGTTCCCAGCCAGACCAGGCTGAGGGTGAAGCCTCCATGGAAGAGCACCAGGTGTCCCTGGGTCATGAATCCCCAGTCTCACAGGATGGTAGCTGGGCAGGGCCAAGGTCTTACCTGGGATCCCTGGGGGGCCAGGCATCCCAGGGTGCCCACGCCCTACTTCGCCTTGATCACCCTTCTCTCCACGCTTCCCTGTAGACAAAAAAGTAAGTCTCAGTTTTTCAGGATTAAAAAGTGCTATCTCCACTTTGTTATTTAATTTCTATTGACATAACTATTATTCCAGTACTGTGCTAGTTTAAAAGAAGGGGAATTTGGAAATGACCTAGAAAGGCTGGCTAAATAGAGGGAGGTAAAGACAAAGGATGTACAATTATGTATCTGATAAATTTTATTACATGAAAGTGTCCAATAACAATACTTAGCATTTACTATGTACCAAGCAGTGAACTAAGAATTCTATATAAATCCCCTCTCAATGACCCCACAAAACACTATGAGGTTGGTACTATTAATATCTCCACTTCACAGGTGACACATCCAAAGCCCAGAGATATGGAAAGATGTTTATGAGATACCATAAAACAAATTAAAACGTCCAACACTATAAAACAGTACATTCAGTTTCATTCATCCGCTAAGAGGAAGAGCCCAGGAGTGCTTCCCAGAGGAGTTTGGCCAAGGGATGGGAAAATTGCGAGGTGTCTTATCCTGGGATCAGGAATGGAGAGACGGAGTGTGACAACAGAGCCTGAGCACTCAATTGCCCAGGGCCCCTGGCCAAGTCCCTTCTGCCCAGCCTCACTCCCTCCACAGAGCAGTACTTACCCTTGGGTCCTGTGTTTCCAATCTGACCCACAGCTCCTATGACACCAGGTATGCCTCGAGGACCAGGGTGCCCATGGGGTCCCTGCTTGCCTGGGTACCCAGGTGGCCCAGGTGGTCCTGGGGGACCCATCATCCCTGCTGCACCTAGGGCTTCCCGCTTGGCACTCACAGCCACCTCTGCCAGTTGCTCTAGAGGGAGGAGGGCAACAGAGGTCTGTAAGACAGGTATCAACTCTGCAACCCTATGGAAGGCAGAAAAGTATCCTGACAGCTCCTGGCTCCCAGGTTTGCAGACAGGAAAGCCCCTGTTTTGCAATTTCCCTTCCTCAGACCCTGTTTTGATGAACATAAAGATCCAAAGTGATTTATTTATCTAAGGGTCCCACAGCCCTTGGAAGCAGAGCTGTAAGGATCAGGAACTCCAGACCCTCAGGGAACCCTGCATCACCTTGCATCATCTTCAGCACCACGTCTACAATGTGCTGGTCACTGGGATCTCGGCCCTGAAAGCAGAGGAGGTCTTCAGGAAGAACCCCTGGCGCCGGGGCTAACCATCCCCGCACCCTTTGATACCCCACCCCACTCCACCTGTGTTCCCATCCTCTCCCAGGATCTGCACGCGGTACACCCATCCTCTCTTATCTGGGCCTGGAACCAACCCGAGGAAGCCAGCAGCCCGACGAAAACTCAATGTTTGGAGCATAAACGGTACTGGGGTTGGTGGGGACTTACCGCCACGCCCTGTCTCCCGGGCTGTCCTGGCACGCCTCGGTCTCCAGCCAGTCCTCGAGGGCCGGGCAGCCCAGGGTAGCCCTGCACCCCTGGAGCCCCCGCATCCCCGCTGGGGCCAGGGTAGCCAGGTTCTCCGCGTACTCCTTGCTGCCAGGCGTTGGGTGGGAAAAGGTAGACGGTGTGCAGGCCAGGACTGGGAGGGCCGGGAGGACTAGGAGGGCCGGGAGGACTGGGAGGGCCGGGAGGGCCGGGAGGGCGGGGCCCAGCCAGGCCAGAAGAGGGGGCCGGACCCAGGGCGTGGCGTGGGGCGGGCTTACCTGTCCTTTGGGCCCGGGCTCGCCGGACTCGCCCTGCAGGCACAGGGGGCTGCTGTCAAGGAACGCCGGGACCCCTGCGCCCAGCCCCAGTTCCCCTCAGCCCCCGCGCCACACTCACCTTCTCGCCTTTCTCTCCGGGAAGGCCGGCTACCCCCGGGTCGCCCTGCAGAGAGAACCGTGGGTCGGGCGTGCGTTAGCAGCGAGACATAGGGCGGAGCGGGCGTCATAACCCGCCCAGAGCGCACCCAACGCTCCACGGGCCGGGCGCCCGGAGGCCGGGCCGCGGGTGCTGAGACTCACCACTCCGCCGCGGGGCCCGGTCTTCCCTGGAAAACCCTGCGGAAAAGCAGACGAGGGCTTGGTGAGCTCCTTTCTCCGGGGAGGAGTGCTCCAGGCGTCCCCCAACGCGGCTCCCCGCCACACCCCTCACGCCAGCCCTGCCTCCCCTGCCTCCCCCACAGGACCACATCCCTGGGACCCGCACTTTAATTTCTTCTTTTCTCCTCTCTCTCCCTTTGTCTCTCCCCCTCCCTCTGCCTCCCTCTCCCTCCTTCCCTTCGTCTGTATCTCTCTCTCGCTCTCCCTCCCTCCTTCCCTCCCTTTCTTTTTTTCACTGCAGATTGAATTTCCGCCTCGCGCACGCTAACCAAGCACTATACATCCCCAGGGGGACCCGCAGATTCGGACAACTCAAAAGTTTTAACTGAACCCCACACCACCCCACTCCAGGCCTGGGCTGCTTTCTCAAGCATTGTCCAGCCCCTTTTGGTACCTTGTCTCCCTTGATGCCTGGCAAGCCTTGGGGACCTGGAATTCCAGGGGGGCCCTGTTCCCCCTTGGGACCCTGAGAAGAGAAGCCAGAGCAGTAAATCAAATGAGGTTCCCAGATGTGCGCCCCACTGCCCACCCCAGCTGGCCTGCACTCACCTGCCGTCCTTGTGGGCCAGGCTGCCCCACAGGGCCCCTCTCACCCTGGTCACCCTGAAATGGTACGAGAAGGTCTCACCAAGGCTCTCAGCAGGGGCGGCCTCCCTGGGCTATGCCCTAGACCTTAGCAAGTTCCTACAGTTTTGTTGTCAGCAGCAGGGGGTCCTTTGATCCATTTCACAGATCAGCAAATTGAGGCCTTGCTAGAGGACCCAGCCCCTGCAGCCAGCAGTGCCAGCTGCTGCGAGGACCCTCAGGAAGGGAGTACTGCTAGGGGCACTTACCTTCTGCCCCACGATGCCCCGGGGACCAATTTCTCCTTGAGGCCCTGGCTCTCCCTGGAGGAAAGAGATATTGAGGGTAAGCCTGGTGGGACCCTCCCTTCCACACCTGCCTCACACCTCCCCCTCTTGATTTTTTTTTTTTTTTTCTTTTACACCTCCCACTCTTGGGTCTCAGCTGATTAGCTCCCTTTAGGGACACAGCCTAGAAAAGAGACAGTGAGTGTTTCTTTCCTGGGTCAGTGGGTTGGGGCAGAGACAACCCAGAGGACCCCTAGTTTGGGGATCCACCCATGGCCCCCCTGCTCTATGGTCAGAGCACGGCCCTCAGGCCTGGGAGGGCCAAAGCCAACTTGTGTCAGTGGAAGGGGCCACTTACCTCCTTCCCAGGAGGACCAGGGAATCCAGGGAGGCCCTGCTTGCCTGGCTCGCCCTGCAGAGAAACAGAGCTCAGGTCAGTCAGCCAAGCCCCGTGGACCCTGAACAGTCTGCAGCTGAATGAGTGCTAAAGGGAAAGCGTGTTCTTGGGCAAGTCCTCTGGGCTCCACCGTCCTATGTTTGTGTTGCCTTTGGATTCAAAGCCATTCATCCCATCTCCACTAAGTCAGACTGAGGGCTGTGGGAAGGGGTGGGGGTGGCAGGAGGGAGGCGACTTGTGTTCAGATCGTGTCAAGTCTGGGGCTAGGCCTAGGCCATGCCTCAGTCTCTGTCCTGTGGCTACCCTGTTCAGATGGGACCAATTTTGCCCCTCGCTTGGCATCATCTCACCTTGTCTCCTGGGCCTCCTTTTGTTCCAGGCTGGCCTGGCACACCCTGCAGAAAGAAGTTGATACCCATTTCTGCCCTGGAATGGGGTAGCCCCATGTACCCACTGCTTTGCCTCGGATCCCAAACCCAGCTTTCCTCCATCTTATGGGAGCCGAATGACTGGAGACCCAGGCGTGGTTTCATGAACATGACTGTGTTCTCTACTGTTCTCAGAACCCTGGTGGGGAGGAGTGGGATACAGGGTACAGGGGAACACTGCCTGTTAGGACCTGTGTCTGTAGGCAGAAGGTAACTCCTGGCACACCATGAGTGTGTGTAAGAACTCAAGTCCCAAGGGGGAACAGATTCCAGGGCCGTAAGGTTTGCCAGGCATCAAGGGAGACAAGGTGCCAAAGGGGCTGGACAATGCTTGAGAAAGCAGCCCAGGCCTGGGCTCCGGAAGGTAGTGGGTAGAGATGGGTCCGTGTGCTGAGAAGCCACAGGGGGAAGGTCACCCAGACAGAGGGTCCAGGAAAAGCTTAATAGGGTATAGACAGAAAAGCCACTCATGAAGAGCAGGGGTGAGGACAGTGGTAATGGCCAATGAAGTAAGAAAAGTAGACTGGGATCAGATTATGGTGGCTGCTGAATGCTAGATGAGCTGTGACGAAAGGGTCGCGTCTGTCCCATGTGTAACTGTTTACCAAGTGACTTTCCTGGAGGCCATGGGAGCCATGGGAAGTGCTTTAGCAGGGAAATGATTAGCTGCCATGCACCCACCAAGAAGGATTGGAATGGCAAAAAGAAAGCTGGAACAGCTGTCCAAATAATGAGGGCTAAACCCGGACATGGGGCACAGAAGTGACAGCAAGAGCCCAGGTGTGGACTTTGGCCTCATCAGCCATTTGCGTCCTTGTGGAGAGGTGGATAACAGTGCCTGGCCTCTGAGCCCACAAGCAGCAGTTTGTGGGGCAGCCCGTAGGGCTCCACCTGATACTTACTGCTAAGCCCTGGTGGCCCGGGTTCCCTGGACGCCCTGCCTGTCCTGCGCTGCCCTAGAAAAACAGAAACAGAAGCACAAATTAGGTCCACAGCCTCGACCCCAGTGCAGGAAAATAGGTCTGAAGGCCTGGAGGGGTGCAACAGGGTACATGGGAGGCCCCCAGAGTCACGTGATGGGACCCAAAGCCCTGAGCAGAGAGAATCCTCGCTCTCCAGTTCTACCATAGTCCCTGCTCTTACTTTCATGCCAGGTGTGCCTGGGGTCCCGTCCTTGCCATCGATGCCTGGGGAGCCCTGCATAGGAGGAAAGTACAGGGAGCCTCACAATGGGGAGGTGGCTGTAGTCAAGGTGTCCACCCATGACTCCTGTGATTGCTGCAGTGCGAAGGTACAGAGCAGATCTGGTTGTCTCAGAAAACCCCACCAGCCCACTGCAGGAGGGCAGCTGAGTGGGAATGGGCTGAAAAAAACGGACCGTAGCCCTTCCTTTGTGGATGACAGTGTCCCCAGGTAGCTATATGCATCTCATGATCTCTTCTGTAGCATCACTCCTGTTTACAGTTGGGGAAACCAAGGTATGGAGAAGACATTGCCAAGACTGCAGAGCCAGCTTGCCTGCAGCAGAGTTCAGTCTACAACCCAGGCTCCTCACCCACTGGTGCTGAGGACTCTCAGACCTGACCCTGGCCTCTGTCCCTGGGCCTCTAGCACTTACGGCTGCTCCCTTCGGGCCTGTCATCCCTTGAGGTCCTCGCACGCCTTGGCTGCCCTGCAAAGCAGACAGAGGTCAGGGCCGTGGCAGGATGCTGAGGCCCACCTGGCCGTGCAGAAGGGATATCTGAGCTGGTGGCCTCTGGGTCCCAAACTCCCTGTGGCACAGGCCACACAGTGTAGGGGCTGGAGGAAAGGGAGAGGTGGGACTGGGGGTGCTCCCAGAGCTGGCGTCCACTGAGACCACAGCTCACTTGGACAAGGAACACGACCACTAGAGAATGTGTGGGCTTTTCTGTAGGGGGAGGCAGGTTGTCTCAATTTGAAGAACTGTGAGCAGTTTTGAGATAACTGCAAAAGACGGAAGGCAGACTGATTATTAGGTGATGTTAAGGGATAATTACTTTGTTACTTGTGATAGTGATGTGATGTGATTATGTGAGGAAGAAAATCCTTTATTTTTTACAGATACATTTGGAAATGTTTAGGGGTAAAATGACATGATGCTGAGGATTTGCTTGAAAACATCAGAGTGATGCAGTAACAGTGGAGGAAAGGGGAAGGGAGACAGATGAAGGGACTACGGCAAGATGTCCACAACTGTGGAGCCTGCGACACGGCCAGGTAGAATCCATTATATCAGTCTCCCTACTTTTACATATATTTTAAAACTTGCATTACAGAATAAAACCATACTGTTAACTATGAGAGTACAGTTAACTACAGAGTTAACTATACTCTCTGCTCAGCCCAGCATTGTCTGTTAATTAAAAATAAAGAATTAAGAGAACTGGGATGTAGACCAAATCCCATTAGTCTCCTGGTTGATTGCTGGAATTTCATTGTCTCGCCCCAGTGACCATAAGCCTGGCTCCCAAAGTCTCACTTTGTGTCCCCTGGGCTGTGTAGGTATGCGTGCACATGCATACACACGTGTATGGTACATGCACCAGCGTTGGGTGGCACTGAGTCCTGCTTGGTGATCCCCTCCCCACCCCAGCCCTGAGCAGACAACAGGTGCCTGAGCACTCACCACATCGCCCTTCTCCCCAAGTCGGCCTGGTGGCCCCCTTGGACCTTCCTCACCCTGGCAAGGAGGATAGACAGGTATCCATGTTTCATGGGCTCGGGAGAACCATACCTGCTTTGCAGCCAGAGGGGCTCCAGCCTGGAGCCAGGGAACAGGAGCAAGCTTACCGGTGACCCAGCAGCGCCAATGGAGCCCACCATGCCTTTATACCCACGAGGACCCTGGGTAGAGGAAAGAGTTGAGGTTCAGTGCTGGCTGGATCCCCCCATACTAGAGGCCTGGTCATTGTGGCTCTTGCAGGACACTCTTGGATTCACTTACCATCTCTCCCTTGGGTCCCGCCATTCCTGGGTAGCCCCTGATGCCCTGGGGCCCCTATTAGGACAGAAAAAGGATAGCAAGAGCAATTGTAAGGCCCACTTTCTCATACCATTTCTGACCCCCTTTCACAATGCCCTTTGAAGTAGGCAACCTAAGCTCTAGGTCATAGATGGGATATCGAAGCTCAGAAATGAGGGTACTCACAAGAGTCACTCCAAGTTGCACAACCTGGACCTCAGCCAGGCTTTGGCTGCCAGCTTTGGTTCCTGTCCCTTAATTCCTGGCAGCTTCCCCTCCTCTCCCACCCGGAGACATTCCCGGGTAGACACAGGCCTCTTTCATAAGCTAGAGGCCCAGGCAGGGGAATGACCTCAGTAAGGACTTCCAGCATGAGACAGACCAGCCACAGGGGAAGGCATTCCTTACCGGTGGTCCAGGGATGCCTTGCTCTCCAGAGGCACCCACATCTCCTTTGGGACCCTAGGAGCAGGTATGATTAATCAGACAGGCAGAAGGTGGAGAGATAAACACACAGGCAAAGATACCAGCCAACTTTCCCAGCCAGACTAGCCAGGAAAGACCCTTGAGACCACACAGCCCCACGCTACAGATGGGGAGACTGAGGCTGAGCATGGAAGGGACTTGCCCACAGACATCAGCCTAGAGCATAGTACTCCTGCCTCCAGCTCAAAGCTGTGTCCCCGAGGGCCCCGAGATGGGGTAAAGGAGGAATCCGGCCTCTCCCACACAGTCCATCCCACAGCCCTCAGCCTTCACACTCACCGGATTCCCCTGGCGGCCAGGGTCACCCAGAACCCCATGTTTGCCCGGATGCCCCTGCAGGGAAGGGGAGAGCTCACTATACGGCCACTTCCGGATCGCCTGCTCCCCTCCCAGGACTCAGACCGGGAGCTCTCACCTTCACTCCCTGCAGCCCGGGGGGGCCTTTGGCACCCGCTGGACAGTTGGTTGGACACTGCAAAGACAATCTCATGGCCCTCGGGTCACCTTCCTGGCCAGGCCAGCCAGACTGCACACCCAGCTTGCCACCCCTGGAACACTCTTCCCACCTCTTACGACTGAGTGACTCCATCACAGTCCCCTCCCACCCACTGACCCCATCTCCACACTACCTCCATCGCCTCTGCCCCGATGCCCCTTCTTACCAGGAGGTCGGCACTCCCTTCCAGGCCCTGGATGGCTCCTGGGCGCCCCTGAAGAGACATACAAAGATGGAATCTGCCCTGACCCTTCCCCACCCCAAGCCCTTCCCTAGGAGCACATGGCCATGTGGAACATCTAAGGACACTTACTGGTTTCCCAGGGGGCCCTGGTGGCCCCGATGGCCCCTCTGGTCCTGGATCCCCCTGAAAGTAAGAAGGGCCCCATTGTACCACCATCCAGCCCTGCCTTGGTTATCTCTGACCCCTCTTCCAGTTTCCCCCCTTGCCCCATCCACCCTGCCCCCTAGGGCACTTCCTAGAGGCCAGCAGGAGGTGAAAGGCCTACTGTCCGCTGGCAGGCTCAGCAGGAGAGATTCCCTAATCGGAGCCAGGGAGCCCCCTCTGACCAGAAGCAGGCCCGGAAGCTCCTGGAGAGCCCAGTCCAGCTCACCAGCTTGGAGGTAGAGAGCAGAAGGCAGTGTGAGTAGATCAGCCTTGGGCTCACCTTGGGGCCTGGGGTTCCAATCTCACCCGGGAGACCAACAGGTCCAGGTGGCCCCTGGGGAACAGAGACATGGATGTCCAGGATGCCTTAGGGGTCAGCCCACCCAGGACAGGAAGGTAGGCTCAGGCACCCAAAGCCTCTCTTCTGCTCGGAGTTTTTGGCCAAGCTCAGACTGACAGATTGGGGATTGGTGGGCGGGGGGTGGGGGACAGAGAATTCCAGGGTCAGCGGTTAGGGCCAGAGTGGCCTGGGAAAGGTCTCAGAAAGCCCGCCCATTCCTGGCACTGTCACAGCATGATGGCCTCTCCCCAAGATGGCTGTCCCCCCTCCTAAGTCCTTCTGTTGTCCCCTCCCTTCCTTAGAGTCCTAGGACCCTACCGTACCACTGAGGACTTACTGGAGGTCCAGTGAAACCAGGGCCCTGGAACAGAAGGAAAGGAAATTGGGCTCATGGCTCCCTCCACCTCTCCCTGTGGAGGGTCCCTCAAAGGCCTCACAGGTGGTACTCACCGGCAGACCAGGGGGACCTGGGAGCCCAGGCTGGCCCTGTAGGAACAATGGGAGAGGCTCAGAGACTGGGGCTTCTGGTCTCTACAGCAGTCCCTCTCAAAGGCTGGCCCTAGATTGCCCGCAGAGTCCCCAGCAGGCCACTTGCCTTGACTCCAGGTGTTCCCATGGGACCAGGCTCCCCCTTTGCTCCAGTTAAACCCTGGGAGAAAGAGAAGGTGGGATCACAAGGGGAAAGCTGCTCTCTGACCCACAGGGTCGGGCAGGTCCAGATCCCCCTGGCGGGGCCCAGCTTCTTTTCACCGTACCCCTTGAAAACCTAGGGAGCTTAATGCCTCCTTTTCCCTTCCCCTACTTCTTGGTATGGCCCCTGGGGCTGGAGGCTTTGGGGGCTTCTGGGAGTTCTGTGGTATCAAATAAATGATGCTCTTCTCCTGAATTGTCCCTGGGGCCACAGAGGCATAGGGGAAAAGAAGAGGGAACACACAAGGACAGCCCCAGCTAGGGCATTTAGTCTGATCCCTACAAGTCAGAAATGTGTCCCTCAATTCTGAGGGGGGCTGACAAACAGGACAACCTTGCACCTCACAGAGAGCAGAGTCCTCTAGACCTCAGTTCCTGTGATTCAGTGCTCCAGAAGTGGGTGTGAAGTTCCAGTAAGGTCACAAGTCCTGTGAAACTAAGGGGCTCGCAGCTGGACAGTCTCTATCGGGAACTCAGGCTTCACAGTCAGTAGTCAGCGCCCTCCCCTGTTCTGCCCACTCTGGCACTCACATCAATCCCTGGCTTCCCATCTGGCCCGTCTGGCCCGGGTCTGCCAGGCTCTCCCTTGGGCCCCTTGAAAACAGAAGTGCAGCAAATATGAGCCAGACGACAGCAAGGACCAGAAAGGTAAAAGATCGCAGGGAAAAACACTCACCGGAGGGCCGGCTTTCCCAGGTGGCCCCTTGTCACCCTGCAAGATACAAGTTAGTAAGACAGCCCTGTAGGCTCATGCTTCCACAAGAGGGGGGGCGGGCGGGGCAGTCCTGGGTCCCCGCCGCCACCTTGTATTTTTTAGGAAAAAAAGCTTCCTTTCTTACATAAAAAACTTTGTAAGTATCTCAAAACCAACCCCAGCCTACTGGGGAGGGGGATATCTACATGCAAGCGGGTGTTAAACATGATAATGTTGGTAAAGTGACCATTATGAGGCCTGTAGAATGGGGCTGTGGACTCTGAGTCAGCTGGAAGAGGGGTACCACTTGGATGGGGTGAGGAGAAGGCTTGGGCTTTTAGAAAAATTTGAGGGGTGGGTAGGAACAGCAGAGGCTGAAGCAAGGGCAAGGACCAAGGAGCCATCAAGTGGACGTGATTCAAAATGTTCCTGAAGAGGGAAGGACCTCTTTCCCAAGTGACAAAGGACTCTTGGTGGAAGACAGGCAGGGCCAGTGGAGTCGGATTCAGCCCCCAAGAGGCCTCTGGCCGTTTCAGAGCCTGCAGGGGCCAGGGCCTGGCTGGGGTCCAGCGTCCTGTGTTTGAGAAGAGGCACCAGGCTGAAAAGAAGTCTGTCCAGAGGGTAAATATGGCGCTGACCTCCTGGGGTAGCCTCCAGAATGAGGTATTTAAATTTAACCCTCACCATGGCCGGCAGGGACAGCAGGGAACAAGCCCAGCTGATTCTGTCTTGGGAGGAAAAAGCAAAGGGAAGAGACAGGAGCTGGTCAGCGGTCTGACCAAAGCCCCCAAGTTATGCTGAAGAGGTTAGGGCGTCTCCTACCCCAGAAAGAAAGCAAAGGAGGGACGGGGGATAAGGATTGTCTGTGAACAGTGGCCAGTAGACCGAACAGCAATCCCTTGTCCACGGGGGACTCTAACGGGATCTACTTTTCAGGGCTGGTTTGAGGTTTTTGCTAAATAGGCTCCTTGTGGTGCTGGCTAGCGCCGCCTACTGGAGAAACAGGGCACTACAGTCCAGGCACCCAACCCCTCCGCTCACAAAGTTCCCCTTTGTCTGCAGCTTCCCTCCCTCCCCATCCAGTCCCAAGTTTAGAGACTCACGTCGATGCCATCCGATCCAGGCATTCCCGGCGGCCCTGGGGGGCCCGGGGGACCGGGCTCTCCTGGCGGGCCTTTCTGAAAACACACACAGGGGAGAAACCTTCAGTGTGGGCATGCCAGGGGCTGCAGGTGGCCTGGGAGCGGGGTCCTGGAGGCAGTGCTTCGCCTGGTAAAGGGGGCTCTGCGAGGGACTGCGAACTCCCGTGTACTGAGAACCCCAGGTGCACCGGGTACTGTGCGCTGAGGCGTCTGATTATCTTAGTATTCAAAATTCCGAGGCCAATGCTATTGCGGGCCGCAGTTTGAGGGTGAAGACGCGGGCACAGAAAGATTGAGGATCCATGCTCACTACATAGGCCGACTCCTTCCCCACCTTGGCGCAGATTTGCGCGGGGGCGCGTAGTTGGAGATGGCGACGGCTGCGGAAATCACAGACACCGCGAGGTGGCGCCCAGCCCACTTTAGTCCTCAATAAATGCTGCTTGAATTACCATTTTTAGACGAGCAATAGATAGTGGAGGTGAGCAGGCATCTCCTTCTTCCCCCGGCAGGGGTAAAAACACGACGGGAAAGTGGGGGAGGCGCAGGGAGCAGGTGCGAGTATTCCCCCGTACCCCCAAGCAACGGATTCCCAGCACCGCCGCCTCATCCTCCCCGGGGTGGCGGTCTTAGGGGCCAGCTCCGACCCAAGGAGGAGTCCCGTGAGGACCAGGTGCCCGCCACGCTAGGCTGGGAAGCGCGAGGTTGGTGCCCCACGGCGAGCTGCACGCTGCACCCCGCGAGGCCCGGTCACCACAGTAGGCGCGGAGGCCGCCGCGGATGGACAGCGGCGTCTGGCTGGAGTCAGCGCCCGCGGGAGGCGGCGAGGCGGGGGCTCGGCGGCCGCGTGAATGGCACCATTGTCTCCCTGCCACCTGGGCTCTCCGTCTGCCAGGACGGGGCGCCAGCTCCGGCCCCGCGCTGACCACCCGAGCAAGGCCGAGCACCACTGCGCCGGGAGCCCGGCTCCCGGCTCATCCACCTCCTTTCCCGGTGCGGCTCCGCGCACCGTGAGGGCGACACTGAGGGTCCGCGCCCGGGACTGTCCTTGGTGGACCCTCGGACGAGCGGGGATCGGCAGAGGAACCCGCACCGTGGCCCCCCAGTGGTGGAGCACTTACGATCTGCGCCAGCGCGAGCCCGAGCACCTGGAGGAGAACGAAGAGGCCTCTGGGGGCGGCCATGGTGCGCGGGATCCGGGCGCACCGACAGCGAGGCTGCTCTCAGGCGGGCGGCGGGCGGGCCTTCCGAATATGCGGCGGGGAGGGGCGGGGCCGGGCCGAGGGGCTGGTACCTGAACCCTCCCACAGGGGAGGGAGGCCGAGCCCTCCGCCCAGCTTGGCCCCGCGCCTTTGGCCGCCAGCGCCCACCCTGCGCCCTCGGCCGCCAGCCTGGAGCCCGGCGCCTGCCGGAGCCCGGCGCGGAAATCCGAGGGGCGTCCCAGGGTGTAGGACTGAGACAAGTGTCCCGCATCTCTGGGAGGAGGCAGGGGGCCGCCTGAAGTCTTCCTCCAGCTTGACTTCAGGGCTCAGCACCTCCCCCGACCCTCAGCCCCATCACTTTCCTGGGCCTGGCTCAGGTCTAATCTTTCCTGTGACTGGGTTCAGGGCTCCAAAGGCACTGCCCAACCCTCTCCACCTTGCTCCTGTCCCCATGGACTCCTTTCTCTCCAAGGACAGACGGATCTGCTCCTTACTAGAACAAACCGAAGCCTTTCCTGGACCAGCCATACGCTAAATACTCCACCTGCCTCTAAAACTCATACCCCTTCCCACTGCTCTGCTTCTCCCCTGCCCCCCAGCAGTCTCCTGGAGGTCACCTTGAAACCCAACCCTTCTGGGTCCTCCAGTCAGAGGTTGTTGGCACCTCGACCTGCCCGTGGCCATACTGACCTTGAGGTCTTCCCTGCCAAGCTTCCACCATCCAGCTCCCGCACTCCAATCTCGTCACTTAGGCAGGGGACATGTTCTAAGAAAAGAACAAGCAGTTTGATTTGGTTGTTGTGCAACCGGATTACAAATCTCAGAGTGCAGGTACACAAACTAGACAGCCATGATGTCACAGGTCTGTATAATCTTATGGAATCATTACCCACCAAACATTACTATGCAAGGCATGATGATACTTCCTTTTTAACTTTGCCATTCCCTTGGGGACTGACGTCTTCTCACTAACCTTTTCCAAGTGATCTACTCCCATCTTCATGGGAATAACCGTCACTTTATTCAGAAGAGGTTCCACAACCTACATGTCTAGCAGCCTTTGTCCAAAGTCTCTTCCCTTCCCTTGCATTCACTAATTCATACTGGTAAAGTGCTTTGGAGTCTGACACTGCCTGAGTCAAACTATATATATGTGAAGCCTCATTTTCCTCAACTGTAAAATGAGGATAATAACACTCTTGGTCTTAAAAAGTTTTTATAAAAATTGAAACAAGAGGATGCTTATAAGGTGCTTAACATAGCATCAGCACACAGTAGGTTCTTTCCACACTTTTTACCAGGCCTACACACAGTATGGGAAAGCTGACCACAACTGAATCAACTAAAATGGCCAAAGAAGCCAGGTGTGGTGGCACACATCTGTAATCCCAGCCCTTGGCAGGTGGAGGCAGGAGGATCACCATGTGTATGAGGCCAGCCTGGGCTACATAGGGAGACCCTGTCTCCAAAAAATAAAAATAAAATAAAATAAAATAAAATAGCCAAAGAAACACATTTTGGAATCTCAAAGAGTCCAACTGCAGTAGGCAGGTGAGCAAAGGGTCTGAGTCTGAAAGTGGTCAGAGCTGTATTTGGGAGAAAGTTCATAGAGAATTTAATTGCTTTGCCTAACAGCGTGAGGAAGAATTTGAAGTGCAAAATATGAGAAGACAGTGGGAAGGGAGGGTGGGATGGTGGACAGTGGCAGGAGTGATGGGGTAATATATGCTAAGGGCTTTTTAGAACTAGGATATCCAAATTCAGTTTTGAAGTTGTTGATTTTTTCATTATGAGCCAAACATGAAAGTCTCAGATAAGTTCTCTTCTTTGGTGAAAACTATGGAAAGGGGATGAACTTCAAATTTGGTCAGCATACATTCATGTAGTAGTGATTTAAAATGATAATTTCTTGATCAAGATTTCAGGAGTGGCTTTGTGGGCTGACTCTAGCTTGGGGTTTGTTACTTGGTTACAGACAGATGGTGACTGGGCCTGCAGTTATCTAGAAGATGTCTTCATTCACACATCAGGATCTCCAACAGCTCGAGCTGAAACAATTGTGATTTCTTAGATAGTTCTTTTCCCTTTTGTGGGCTTTCAATGAGGTCTCTCTGGCTGGGTGACTTGGAGGTCACTGAACTCACCTACCAGCTCAGAGAGAGAAGGAGCACATGGGGCAGAGAATCGCCCCTTCAGTTCTCCCAGCAGTCCTGGGAAGGTCACTGCCCAGACCCATATGCCTTAGTTACTTTTCTTCTTGCTGAGACAAAATACCTGACACCCAAAGTTAAAGGGGGAAAGGTTTATTTAATCTAAAAGTTTATTTATCATGGTTTGTAGAGGTTTCAGTTCATAGTTGGTTGTCTCCAAGGCGGGGTGGCACTGCAGAGGAGGTACAGTTCATTATAAGCAAAGTAGTGAAACAGCAAGTCACAAGCAGTGAAAACAACAGCCTTCTTTCTGTCCCTTATATTCTATCTAGGCTACAACAGGGCAGGCAGTGCCGCACCCACGGTGGGGCACCCTTAATCCTAGAATCACATCCTTAATATCACACACCCTAGATCCAGCCACCTCTGAAAAACCCCACCTATAACTGCATGAGGTTTTTGGGGGGACATCAACATCTAGATACAAGCTGTAATGCCATTCTTAGAAGCCAGGCAGCATCTCCTTCACCATGTCCTTTTGGTGGAGACAATCACAAGTCCAAGTTCTGGATGAGGGAACAGAGACCCCACTTCTTGAATGACAAGTGGCAATGTCACATTTTAAAGAGAATATGGGGATTTATATATATATATATATAAACTTTGGAAAATGCAACCGACCACAATTGCAATTATAATTGAATCAATTCACTGGTAGCTGAAGCTCAAAGGCAGAGCTGACCCAGAGAGAATGGTATTAGAGAAGGCTTTGAACCATAAAATGGGGCTAGAGGTTCCAGCCAGTTGCATGTGGCTCTTAAGGAGCAGGGACATCCTGGATAAATAGAGTCATATAGCTATGTTCCTGGATAGGGAAGCTCAATGTTGCAAAGATGTCAAATTCCAGTCAAGGGCCAGGGATATAGCTCAGTGGCACAGCGCCTGTCTGGCAAGCATAAGGTCCTGAGATTCCCATTACAGAAAAAAAAATGCAATCAGAATGCAATTTTCATAATAAACCAATTCTAAAGAGAATAAGAGAGTCTAGGAGAGAAATGGCATGAAAATAGCTAAGAATATTTTTTTAAAAATAAGAAAGGTCTTTCAGAATATGCTATAAAGTAGTGTTCCAACATCTTAATAGCACAAGAATAGGATAAAGGAAACATACAAACATATATCATATATACACCACATGTTTTAATCTATGATAAAGGTCTGCATATTTAGTTTATGATACAGGTTAAATTTAAGTTCAGTGAGGGAATGGTAGGATGGTCAGCATATGATGTGGAAGCAATTGGCTCTAGATACAGAAAAAAATCACATTGTTTCTACAGAATATTTCTGAAAAAATTAACTGAAGGTTTATGTATAAAAATAATGAACTACAAAAAGCATAAAACAAAAAACTTAAATAATTTTCTGATAAGAAAAACATTCCTGCCAGGTGTGGTGGTGTGTGCCTATAGTCCCAGTGCTCAGGAGGCTGAGGCAGGAGGATAGCCACAAGTTCCAGGCCAGCCTGAGTTACATAATGAGTTCAGGGGCAGCTGAACTATACAGTGAGACCCTGTATCAACCCCCACAAAAATGAAAAACATTCCTGAGCAATATATAAGACTTAGGAAAGATATTTAAATTTGACTTTATAACACTTTTTTTTTGTACCAGGAATCAAACTCAGGACCTTGTGCTTGCCAGGCAATCACTGTGCCACTGAGCTATATCCCTGGCCCTTGACTTTATAACACTTTTAAAATATCTTCCTAAGCCAGGCATGGCAGAGGCCAGGCCTGTAGTCCCATACTCTGGAAGGCTAAGACAGGAGGATCACAAGTTCAAGCCCAGCCTGGGCAATTTAAAGACTTAGTAAGACTCTGTTTCAAAATAAAACATTTTCTAAAAAGGGCTGGGGTTGTAACTCAGTGCAATTCTTGGTACTGCAAAAATAGTCTTTCCAATTAAAATGTAGAGATGAAACTAAGAGACATATTCACGATTTATATGACCAGGTGAAGAATTAATATGGGTAATGTATAAAGAGTTCTTACAAATCAATAAGGCAAGCTCTCCCAAACAATTATATTGGAATAACTAATTCAAATTTTCCAGAACATTTTTAGAGAATAGAAAAGAAAGGACATCCTCAAATTCATTTTGGGGCTGATATAATCTTGGTGCCCAAACCAGTGATGGGCAGTAAGAAAAAGGAATATTACAGGCCAATCCATTTTATGGAACATAGAGGCAAAAATTCTATTTCAATATTAACAGGTTAAATATAGAAATCTGTTAAAAGGTTGGGATGGTTAAGGCTGGCTCTGTCAACCTGACTGACTTGAGAGCCATCTAGAGGATTGGTGGGGCACACTTCTGGGTATGTCCAGCTGGGTCATGGAAGCATGATTTTAGGTACTATACCTGGTCCTTTGTCCCTTCTTCTCTGGTACTATTCCCCTAGGCTGCATTCCAGCAGCCACAAGTTAAGCAGCTTTGTGCCACCATACCCTTCCTCCATGATTGTTCTGTCTCAAGCTAGCCTGCCGTGGACTCAATCTTAAAACATAAGCCAGATTAAACCTCTCCTCCTCTAAGTCATGGATGTCAAGAATTAGGTCTAGCAACAGGAAAGTTGATTAATACAAAGACACATCATGACTGTTGTGGTTTGTGTCTAAGATGTCTCCCCAAAGCCTCATATAAGCATGGAGGCAGGCTTCCAGAGTTTGTGATTGATTCTTGGTCCAATGCTGGTCCAATGCTTGTATTATGGATGTGAGTGCTACACCCACCCTGGGGTTGGTAGCCTGTGTACAATATAAGGGAGGGAAAGAGGCTTGTGCTCTCACTCCTCCCTTCTTGCTCTTGTTGCTTTTGCTGTTTTCCACCACAATGAACTGTTGCTCTCC